GTATGGAAGGATGGAATTTTCTCTTTCACCATTTAAAACTTTTACTTTTTACATCGGAAAGGAAAAGAAATAAAATTAAAACCATTTTAACACTTCTATCCCGCAGATTGTTTCATTATTTTGTGCCCCCCTTTTTTTTGCCCATCTCACAATCGGTTAATGTGAAAATGTTATGAGGCTCACATCTAAGCCTAAAAAAAACTTTTAAGATGAACATTCTCTTAAAGATATTACAAATATATACTGTGTATCTATTATTGAATCCTTGACACATCTTTTTTTTTCTCATGCTTCATAAAATTTCCCGGTCTAGCACACCATTTAATATTTAAAAAAAAATATCATTCTTTTGGACTTTGGTATATTAAACTACTTGCTTATGGTTCTTTACCTCTTTAACCAAAACTATAACTTCATTGATTAATATATCGAAGTAGTCAAGAAAGAAAGCTGAATCTAGTTTATAATTAGAAATTTCTTTTTATCTTAAAATTTGATCTTGAAAAGAATAGCTATTCCTAATAAGATGAGCATCAGTCTCGTTCAATCCTTGAACACAATTTATTTATTGAAGCTAATAGTCTTAATATCTAGAGGAAAAATTTTCAGGTGGACAAGTTATATTATAGGTTTTGTAACTAAATCTTCTTGGACTCCCTCTAGAAAATCAGTAAGTGGTTAACATTAAAATGTCAACATTGAAAGGAATTGTTTGCTTAGTTTCAAATTTTCATGTTTCTTAAACTCAAGACATCATAAATGTTCTGTTTAACAAAATTGAGAATGTCAAACACAGAACTGTCTGACACAAAATACTTGACAACAGACATTCTTTTGTTTTCAATAATTACTTTAGAATTCTATCTCTTTGCTTCCTTATTCAGCTATAGAAGAATGAAGGAAAGTAACATGTTTTTTTTTCATTTAAATCCTTCATCTCTTCACTATTCAAAATGTGTTATATTCAAATAACTAGTTCATATGGGAAAAAAAATAATATCTAGACTTCCTGTTCTAAAAATAACTTACTGCTGACGGTTGGTAAGCAGATGACATTTTATTTTTTGACTAACTTTCAGTAACAGAGTTCCTTCTAAACCTTTATCTCCTAACCATTTGCTTTTGAAAATATTGCTCTCTTATAGTGGTAAAGTTTTTTTTTAAACTAATAAAGCAACCAACCAGTAATACAAAATTTCTCATAAGAGTGAATAATAATTAGCAGCCATATCATCTAACTCAATACTTGGTTTATATTACTTTGCAAAACTCTTTTAGCTTTGCTCTTTCGATTTCAAATAGAAATAATAAATTCATCAAAGAATCTAATAAGCTGATCAAAGGATCTACACTAATATCTTTCAAAAGAAAATATAACATCATGGTTAGGTCCATCTTAATGGTTTCAAATATTCTTAATTTCACTGACACTAATTTAATCAACTAAAAATCACATAGTACAACTGACTCAACTGTTGGAGTTCAAGCCCTTGAGTTGCTGATGACTTACTATAAAAGAATAGTTTGTGGTGCCAAACTCTATACTTTCTATTCCCACCAATACCTTTATTACTCAAAGAGAATACTAGTTCCAAACATGAGCTCATTGAGATACTTTTTAGTGCATAAATATAAGAGAGCTTGATGGTACCAAATTCTATATTCTGTTGAAAGTCTCGTACTTTGGATCTTATTGTATGAGACACACCGACAAATCCTTCTATCGTGTGCATGAGGTCACAAGACTCACGATTTACTAAAGAGTTGTTTCATCTAATCCTTCAACTCATCTCTTCTGATCTAACTTCTAAGAACCAGACACTATTAAAACTTTTGAATCACGCATATAAATTTTAATGGCAGATCATTCTAAAGAATTTTAAGTGGTGAGACTCAATATCTTAGTGCCAAAAGCTGAGAATACTCCGAAGATTTCTTTGAGATTTTTTTTTTAAAACTCAAATTTCTTCTGAAACACACCTTTGAGGAAATAGCTAAACAATAGACTTAATTATCACTTAAAAGAAGTTACTTATTTTACTTCTGGTAAAAATCACTAAACACATTTAACACACTCTTTAAAACTTATCTTGAAATGTGCATTTGCAACTTGAAACTACTTACTTTTGAGTAACATGATATTTGATTATATATTAAAGCGGTGTTTGACTACCGGTATCTAATATTGGAATCATCAAATTGATGAGGGGCCCTCCCACCAACTCAAGATTCCAAACCTGAAATACCGACACTCAACACCGTAGAAAAATTTCTCAGGTTATGATACTGTTGATAAAACATTGGAATCCACTATTTAAGAGCTTTCAAAAATTAAGTGAAGCTTCAACATTTTACACAAAAAATTAAGCTATAACTTATCACTCCCTTAATTTTATTTTATTTTTCTTACAAAAATTTAATAAGATAATGTAAATAGCATGGGAGGTTTAAAAATAATTTCATTTTAATACATAAATAAAAATACATAAATAAAAATACATAAATAAAAATACATAACAAACTGATTTTGTATGCTTACGGAAATTCTTAATCTCATGTAAACTCAATTGCATATCATACTTTAAAAATATTAGACAAACTCTTTATTATTCTTGTTAATTTAAAACAAATATAACTAACAAGACTTAGGCCATGAATAAACTACAAGCTACTAAAAAAGACATTTGGAATAACACTGGCTGTGACGTAATTCAAGTACTCAATCATGAGAAAATAAAGACTATGACACTTTTTTTTTACCCGGATTTTAATCTTGAGTAATCCTCTATGTAGGAGACATACTTGCTACGAAAGATCAACAGAGGCTAATATGGAAGGCTGCGTATACGTAATTATGAAAGGTGAATGACAAGAATGATGGTGTCCTTAGATAACAATCCTAGGTAATTCCTAAATGAAATAGAAGACCCTACTCAAGAATATAGGCACTTGAATAAAACTTAATCAGACTAACTCGTAATAACACAAAGTCACAAAGGTTTTACGAGTTGAGAGCACCTTACTTTTACTTGCCTTTTCTATCTAACTAATACTAACAACACCCAAACAGATTCTGGCCTAGATGACTTTCAACATAAATAAGTACTTACTTGGAAGATGACGAGCACGTGTACGGTGACAAATGAAGCTACGGGACAACCTGGGCTCTGATACCAAATTTGTAACGCCCCTCTCAGGGTTAAAGGAATCGTTACACTAACTTACTACTTTTAAAAATAACTGCAATTGACGGCCGTCTATTTAAGAAAATAACCCTGATAAAATCTCAAATATAATTAAAATATAACTCTTGCTAAAAACTAAATAAAATATAGTTATGACCAGCAAATGTGATAACCACCTGGATCCAGTAATTTACTGAACTTCAAATCCTCAAATAAAAATAAAGTAATATTTATCACTTTATTATAACACTGAAATACTGAAAACTAAATAATATCTAGCTAGAAGCCGTCAAGGTCGTTCCCGTTAACTCATCTTGGCACGCGTTCCACTCTCTCATCATCTTCCTCGGCCTGGGCCTTACCCTTAGCTTTAGTATCTGTACATGTGAAGAAACAAAACTGATAAGCTTTACGCTTAGTAAGTCACTATGGATCCACAAAAATATATAGAAGTCTATACCAATTTATCAATAGATAAATTTAGGCTATAAGTATGCACTGAACAAATAACTAACACACAACTTCTCAAATACATTCTGAGGGAGATCTCAAAACCGCTGGAGAGATCTCAAAATTTCTTTCTCAAAACATCTCTGTAAAACTTTCTGAAGAGATCTCAAAAACAACTTTCTGTAAAACTTTCTGAAAGAGATCTCATTAAACTTTCTATAAATCTCGTTGTGGCTAATTTTACTCTGTGGGCCCGTGATATGTACTCAAAGGCGCCAATCCGACAGCTGAGGGGAGCGACCCACTAAACATATCGGACGCTCTGAAACTGATAACTGATAACTCTGTAACTCTGTGGGAACTTGTTCCCGAGTACATATCACTTAATCTTTCACTTTAAGTATTAGTTCTTTTTATAGTGACGTTTGGATAAAAACATCATTAAATCAGAAAATAATAATACTGACAAACTCTTGACTATGCCAGATAATAATCATAACTTAATACAGCAAATAAAATAACTCAGCAAATAACTCACCAAGTTCACATAATAGCAAATAGGCTAAAATCATCTATATTAAAAATCAACAAGACTTCTTCCCTTTATTTGGTTGAACAAACATGTACAGGTGGTAGTGAACTTACATGTTAACAGCTGAACTCAAAATACTCAGATAAGTGTGGCACCTTGATAACGTCTTTAGGTAAGCTCTTACTTGAAATCTTTTATTTAGATATAATAGAAATCATTAGGAATCTTTTGTCTTACATATGCTACTCCATAATTAAAGGTTTGGTACTTCATTGTTAAGTTAACGAACATGTGGCGTATTATTTAGTACTAATTATAACTAACTCTATTAACTTAAATAGTAGTAGTCGGGCCTTTAAAAAAAACTCTCCCAGATAAGTTTTCAAAGGAAATATGTTCAAGATAAGTCGATTTAAAGAAGCCCTTAAAAAAATGCTCTTAGTCTTGTCTGACCTTGCTGAAAGGTTAAAAAAATTACTTATTCACTTTGCTTCTAGCGGTTCACAAAGAAAAGAGTTGCAGCCACATATGACTTGATTGGAACCAATCTAAACAGTAGAAACAAAATGGATTTACCAAAGAAGTTATACATCTTTAATTATTTTCTGATTCATTGAAACATAGACTACAAATCTGAAACGTGTAGAAACCAAAATAGTTGAACAAAAATCAAATCGTTTGAGATGAAAATATAAAAACATTCTATATTTTGGATTAACGAGGCAGTCAATTCCAAAAAATTGAATTATGATGGAACACACCTAGCTTTAACAATAGCGACAGTAATATTTTGATTTAAGAAACCAAAAGCTCTTTAACAATTAATTTGTCTAGTTTAAACCATTACAAATCAATCAAGAATTATTGATCCATTATCAATGGGGAAACTGATTTGCTGAGAGTTAAAGAGAACAATCTAAAACTATGAATTCGGAAAGATAGTGATAGAGTATATAGACTCGGACCCCCGGGTCTCACGACTATTGGGCCCGGACAGCGGCCCACATACCCTCAGTAGATAGCATTTGTCTCATTGTACACTTTATTTATTCAGATGTATCCATTAGAATAGATTAGATATCATTTATTAGCCCTTTATTAGCCTTTTATTGTAACTGGGCCAGCCAGGCCCAAGCCTGGAAGCCCAGCCCTCTTTTCTCCTATAAATACTCCCTATGGGAGCCATGTAAAGGGGGGGATGATTGGATGGTTGATTGGAATTCATTATACATATCACTTTATCTCTCTAGCTCTCCCTTCTCTCTAAGATTAAATAATCTATCATTTGGTGCTTTCATTGAGAGCTAGAATATATCAAGTGAGATCCTCCCATCCACTACACCTCCAATAAAATTAGGAGCAAATTGGTCCTTCGGCCATATGTCACCATAGCTCCCATATTCTCAAAAAAAATTGACACCTCAGCTAAATGAGACAAAGTATGCCTTCGGTTGGGAAAAGAGTCATCCCCTCTTGTCATCTATAATGTACTACGTACATTCAAAAGGAAAGGAATAGCAGCCTGGGCCGTAGTTGCTGCACATCGGCCAGACCACTTGCACGCTGCACGGCCCTCCCAACATACTAAAACAAAGGAAAAAGTCAAGCAAAGAGATGGTGGGACCTTCGGCAAGCCTCAGCTAAAGCAAAATGCCACCTCGGCCTAGTTGGGGAAGGGATGGCCTCTCAGCCAGAGATCTCCTCGGCCAGAATAAAGGCAGTAGAGTTGATCACTTCCGGAAAAAAGAACCCCGTCTCCACCAAGTGATGACCAGTACCCAGGGCACCACCTCGGCAAAGGGCCTCGCATCGGCTATGGACGCCACTTCGTCCATCCCAACTTGAGGTCACCAACAGCCCATCGTCTCCACCAGGTGTGCACCATCGGTCAGCGGCATCAGCTAGCGACATGAGCCAGACTGCACCGGCCAGCAACTGCGTCGGCCGGCACTGCGTCGGCCAGCAACGCCCTCTTCCAGCAACCGCATCGGCCGGCAACACATCGGCGCACCGCACCTGCTAAAAGGGGGGCACCGCATCGTCTGGCTTCGCATTGCCCGGCACCGCATCGTCCGATACCACATCACCCGCACCGCATCGGCCGACACCACATCTCCGGCACCGTATCGGTCGGCACCACATCGGCCGGCACCGCATCGGCCGACACCACTTCAGCTGGCACCGCATCGGCCACAACAGGGCCACCCTGTCAAGCGACCGCATCGTCCGGACCGGACCGCATCGTCCGGACCGAACCGCATCGGTAAAAACGGGACCACCCTGTCCGGACCGCAACGGGCAGAACACGACGGCCGGAACTCATCGGCCAAACCGCGGACCAGCAGCCTTGCTCCATAGCCTAGCAGCGCCTAGCACAGCCGGGTTGGTTCAGGTGGGGACATCGGGGATCTCCTCGTCCACAATGGGCTCCAGCGACGCGAGGTATCTCCTTGTCTCTGTTTCACGCTCCTCCTTGCGAACGAGCTTGCAGATGCTAAGGGGAGTGGACTAATATATGGGCCGGCTGTTTAATCTCAAAGACTCGGGCTTATTCTCAAAGAAAAGGCCCAATCATTTATATATCCCTGCTGGAATTCTAAGCAGGGCAGGCTTCGGCCCAAATACAAGTAAGTGCCACAAACTTTTCCTCCTATTTCTCGCTTTTAGTATGGAGCAAAATACTTTTACCACTATTCAAAAAAAAAATATATATAGTTTTACTAACTATTCAAAGGAAAAACAAAATAATAATAATAATAATAATAATAATTATTATTATCACTACTATTATCATCGCCACCATTGCTAGCGGATTAAAATCCCCAATTGGTGCGGGCCAAAACCCCAACCTTTCGAACATCTTTATTTGATGATTCGGATTTTATTTGGGTCCCTTGACCTTTCCCGGTCATCTTTATTTGATAACCCGGACATCTAGAATGAGAGTCATCAACGGCCGCACACGACATTATGCCTAGAAGCGGTACACCTCATTCCCCTACACGCTAATTGCGTCATCCAAAAGCCGTTGCAATAAACAACGCACCTAAAGCCGTCGCAATAAACGACGCACCCAAAGCCGTCGCAATAAACGACGCACCCAAAGCCGTTGCAATAAACAACGCACTCAAAGCCGTTGCAATAAACAACGCACCTAAAAGCCATCGCAATAAACGACGCACCCAAAGCCGTTGCAATACACAACGCACCTAAGGCCGTTGCGATCCACAACGCGCCTACAAAGCCGTTGCAATAAACAACGCACCTAAATATCGTATCGGCACAAGCGGTGAAACACCCAAATCGGCCGGCGATATGCAGGACGAAGGACCTGTGTGCATGGTCCAACGTCTTCAAACGGAGAAGCATACCGCGTCGTCCGCGCGGAAACCGCAGGACGACAGGCCTGAATTAAGGCTGAGGTTACAAAAACTCCACCCGTCAGTAAAATTTCACTCAGGACCACAAAGGGCGGCCGTCAAAAGACGATGCCTAGTCCGGTCCCTCGTCGCCGATAGACGTGGAAAGGCAAAAAAGGATGCCACTGACACACCAAGCCGAGGGCGTATTTACTCCCTCGCACTAACACACGCGAAAAGCGTAGCGGACAAAATACCGCACATGGACGAAGGGACAGTAACCCTTCGGCCATCCAAAAAAAAAAAAAAAAAAAAAAAGAGGGAAGCCGACGGACCGCGCACTTGCCGGCCTCGAGCAATAAAAATAAATAAATTCCCCAAACTTATTATTCATCTCAAGACCGGCTCCCAATGCCGAAGCTCTTGCTCCATCATCTCATGAACGGCCTCCCCAACGCCGTCATACTTTTATATGACGATCGGCTTCATCATCGCCTCGTCATCATTATCCGGATCGGCTCATCATCATCGCCATCCGCTCATCACCACCGGCCCCCCGGCCTCGGCGTGATGCTTTATCTCAAGACCGGCCTCCCCAGTGCCAAGTGTCTTGAGCTAGCGACCGAGCTAGCTATTCCCTTCCGGGATAGCAACCGTCGCCTCTATATGACGATCGGCTTCATCATCGCCTCGTCATCATTATCCGGATCGGCTCATCATCATCGCCATCCGCTCATCACCACCGCCCCCCCCCCCCCCCCCCCCGGCCTCGGGGTGATGCTTTATCTCAAGACCGGCCTCCCCAGTGCCAAGTGTCTTGAGCTAGCGACCGAGCTAGCTATTCCCTTCCGGGATAGCAACCGTCGCCTCTATATGACGATCGGCTTCATCATTGCCTCGTCATCATTATCCGGATCGGCTCATCATCATCGCCATCCGCTCATCACCACCGGGCCCCCCGGCCTCGGCATGATGCTTTATCTCAAGACCGGCCTCCCCAGCGCCAAGTGTCTTGAGCTAGCGACCGGGCTCGCCATTCCCCTCCTGGATGGCGACTGTCACTTCTACACGACGATCGGCTTCATCATCGCCTCGTCATCATTATCCGGATCGGCTCCTCATCGCCATCCGCACATCACGACCGGCCTCCCAGCCTTGGCGTGATTATTTCTCCTCAATACCGGCTTCTCATTGCCAAGTGTCTTGAGTTGGCAATCGGGCTCGCCGTCCCTTCCTGGATGGTGACCGTTGCCTCTATATGACGATCGGCTTCATCATCGCCTCGTCATCATTATCCGGATCGGCTCCTCATCGCCATCCGCACATCACGACCGGCCTCCCAGCCTTGGCGTGATTATTTCTCCTCAAGACCGGCTTCTCATTGCCAAGTGTCTTGAGTTGGCAATCGGGCTCGCCGTCCCTTCCTGGATGGCGACCGTTGCCTCTATATGACGATCGGCCTTCACATCGCCTCGTCATCATATGTTGGACCGGCTCATTATCGCCGTCGTCCTTACATCGCGTCCGGCCTCTCGGCTAAGGCGTGATACCTTATCTCAAGACCGGTCTTAGTCATCCCTTCCCGGATGGCGACCGTTGCTTGGATCTTCGGATCGGCTCATCATCATCGCCATCCGCACATCACGATCGGCCCCCCCGGCCTCGACGTGATGATCTAGCTCAAGACCGGCTCCCTTAGCGCCAAGTGTCTTGAGCTAGCGACTGGGCTTGCTATTCCCTTCCGGGATAGCAACCGTCGCCTCTACATGACGATCGGCTCATCTCTGCCTCGTCATCATCATTATTTGGATCGGCTCATCATCATCGCCATCCGCACATCACGACCGGCCTCCCAGCCTTGGTGTGATTATTCCTTCTCAAGACCGGCTTCTCATCGCCAAGCGTCTTGAGTTGGCAATCGGGCTCGCCGTCCCTTCCTGGATGGTGACCGTTGCCTCTACATGACGATCGGCCTTATCATTGCCTCGTCATCATATCTCGGACATGCTCCTCAGCATCTTCGTCCTCACATCACGATCGGGCCCTTCGGCCACGACGTAATGCTTTATCTCAAGACCGGCTCCCTCAGCGCCGAGTGTCTTGATCTAGCGATTGGGCTTGCTATTCCCTTCCGGGATAGCAACCGTCGCCTCTACATGGCGATTGGCCTATCATTGCCTCGTCATCATACATTGGACCGGCTTATCATAGTCGTCATCCTCGCATCGCAGCCGGCCTCTCAGCCAAGGCGCGGTACCTTATATCAAGACTGGTCTTAGCCATTCCTTTACTGGGTGGCGACCATTGCATGGATTTTTGGGTCGGCCCCTCAGTGCCGATCATGGCAGGCCCTCGGCCTCGACGTGATCATATTCCCCAAGACCGGTCTCAGTCATTCCTTCATCGGATGGCGACCGTTGCTTGGACGTTTGGCTCGGCCTCATAGTGCTGACGACCTCGCATCACGATCGGCCCCCCGGCCTCGACGTGATGCCCTATATCAACACCGGCTTTGTCAGCGCCAAGTGTGTTGAGCTAGCGATCGGGCTCCCCATCCCTTCCGGGATGGTGACCATCGCCTCTACATGACGACCGGCTCATCTCTGCCTCGTCGTCATTATTCGGATCGGCTACCCATTATCGCCATCCTCATGTCACGACTGCCGCCCCGGCCTCGGCGTGATGATCTATCTCAACACCGGCTTCATCAGCGCCGAGTGTGTTGAGCTAGCGATCAGGCTCGCCATCCCTTCCTGGATGGTGACTATCGCCCCTACATGGCGACCGGCTTATCATCGCCTCGTCATTGTTATTTTGGATCGGCTCCTTATCACGGCCGTCCTCACATCACGATCGGACCCTAGGCCACGATGTGATGTCCTATCTCCGAGACCGGCCTCTCATTGCCGAATGTCTTGGGTTAGCGATCGGGCTCGCCATCCCCTCCTGGATGGCGACCGTTGCCTATATATGATGATCGGCTCAGCATTGCCTCGTCATCGTATCATCAGACAGGCGTCCCACGCCCCGTCCTCATGTTCAGACAGGCGTCCAACGCCTCGTCCGCATATATTCAGACAGGCGTCCAATGCCTTGTCCCCACATTCAGACAGGCGTCCAACGCCTCGTCCTCATATTCAGACAGGCGCCCAGCGCCTCATCCTCATATTCAGACAGGCGTCCAACGCCTCGTCCTCATGTTCGGATCTAGCAAACATCTTGCGGTCTCCGGCTCAGAGACTAAAGGATCTCAGATCTCATCTATAGGCCCCTCGGCCACATCTTGCTCTAGCATCTTTATTTGATGACGAAGGGCTCTCATACAGGCCCATCGGCCATATATCTTGCTCCGTCATCTTTATTTGATAACGAGAAGCTCATCTATAGGCCCCTCGGCCATATACCGCTCTGTCATCTTTATTTGATGACGAAGAGCTCATCTACAGGCCCATCGGCCATATACCGCTTTGTCATCTTTATTTGATGACGAGGAGCTCATCTACAGGCCCATCGGCCATATATTATTCTGTCATCTTTATTTGATGGCGAAGAGCTCATCTACAGGCCCATCGGCCATATATTATTCTGTCATCTTTGTTTGATGACGAAGAGCTCATCTACAGGCCCATCGGCCATATATTATTCTGTCATCTTTGTTTGATGACGAAGAGCTCATCTACAGGCCCATCGGCCACATATCGTTCTGTCATCTTTATTTGATGACGAGGAACTCATCTATAGGCCCCTGAGCCATATCTCGCCCCGTCGTCTTTAGTTGACGACGTGGAGCTCTTATGCAGGCCCCTCGGCCATACATCGCCCCGTCGTCTTTATTCGACGATGTGGAGCTCTTATCCAGGCCCCTCCGCCACACATCGCCCCTTCGTCTTTATTTGACGACGTGGAGCTCTCATATATGCCTCTCGGCCACTACTCCCAGTCATCTTTATTTGATGACGTGGAGCTCACATCGGCCCATCGGCCTCATATTCTGGTCATCTTTATTTGATGAACCAGACATCATATTATGGACGGTCGCTCGACCCATCCCTTAGTCATCTTTATTTGATGACTATGACTACTGATCATGACGAGCTACCCACATCTATGGATCGGCCTCTGCCATCCCCTCGCTGCAGCTCCACCTCTAGGCCGAAGGGCTCGCACCTTTTGTTTCGTTCTGGGGGCATCCGATGTACTCTTTTTCCCTCATTACGATTTTTTCCCACAGGGTTTTTCCTAATGAGGTTTTTAACGAGGCATCGCCCCATTGTGGATCAAAAGGTGTCAACCCTCGGCCCCCTGTTGCAGACATCATCAGACATGCATTACTCTACTCCTCTTCACCTCGTTACACTCGCCTCAAGGAGTGGGGGACTGGGAGAGCGGGGGACTTAGCGCCTTCGCTACCAAAGAAGCAGAAATTCAAAATTTTTGCAAGGATTGCCACTCGCACCGACGACATCATCATATCACATACATATTCAGCTGCCACATCGGCCAGTACATATACATAGCTCCCCGACCTCAGGACCGGTGGTGATGGTCTCTGGTCTGCGACCTTCGGCGGAGGATTATCCCACAGGGTTGCCTCGGTCAGGGCTCGCCAATGGGATCGGATCATCGGCTTGGGAATCCGGGCGAGGCGCTTCGGCGACGACAGCGGTTTACTCACCAGACGACGACAGATCAGCACATAGTTCTACTCTCTTTCGCCTCGAGTACTCTCGACTCAGAGAGTGGGGGACTCCTGATAGAGTATATAGACTCGGACCCCCGGGTCTCACGACTATTGGGCCCGGACAGCGGCCCACATACCCTCAGTAGATAGCATTTGTCTCATTGTACACTTTATTTATTCAGATGTATCCATTAGAATAGATTAGATATCATTTATTAGCCCTTTATTAGCCTTTTATTGTAACTGGGCCAGCCAGGCCCAAGCCTGGAAGCCCAGCCCTCTTTTCTCCTATAAATACTCCCTATGGGAGCCATGTAAAGGGGGAGATGATTGGATGGTTGATTGGAATTCATTATACATATCACTTTATCTCTCTAGCTCTCCCTTCTCTCTAAGATTAAATAATCTATCAGATAGTATATGAAGTAGGGAGTATTCATTTTACCGGGTATGAGACGCAGTCCAAGACCCAACCTAGTGGTAACCTTGTTCGGTCGTTTGAAAGAGAAGTAGAATTTCGAGAAGTGGGGAGATGTGCGGCTACCGTGGTTGGTGAAAAACGCAGGCCTTGGTTAGAAGATGCGTAAAATATATACTTTTTTTTAGGGCTTTTAGTCAAATGACTGATTCAGGCCAAAATAACTGGTTTGGGTGTTTTAGCCCAAAATAATTGTTCCTAATCTAATTGATTATTAAATTCTCTCTTCCAATAATATACTTAAATAAAATATAGAGTAATATTTAGACTATTTACTACGCTTAAAATTATTAGAGCTTACCGATCAACGTTATCCGCCACAAAACATTGATAGCACAATAAATCATATTATTCACAAAAGGGATTTATTTAACTTGCTAAAATATGACTGACATAACTAGCTCACAAAATTGGGGTGTTACAACACGCCCGATCCCTAGGTACTCCACCCGACCTATAACTTACAACATATCACACTAGATAGGGTGTATACACCCCCACACATGTAGGAGGTCATCCCTTTGTGTCCTGGTGTGTACAATCGACCCCGAAAGTTGTATTTCTCGGACTGTTTTAATTATATTTTATTTTATCGGGTCAAATAAAATATATTACATGTCCACAATCATTATGGATCTTAAGAATGAATATACATTCCCCAACTTTAATTTAAAAGTCTCCAAAATTCATTTCGGACTGTTATCTGAAAAATTGCCGGTAATGGTAATTGGGCTCTGTTTGACAAACCGGTCAACCCAATGCCTTTCTTATGGCCCATTATGAATGTCCACCACCATGTAACTATTATCTAGAACAAGATGAATATAACATGTGGTCTCGTGTTATCGGGTCACCCCCCGTTCCGAGTGTGGGCCCCACGTGGAATTTACAATTCACGCAAAAGAAATAACAAAAATTTACAACCTCGTAAATTCATTACTCGATACACCATATTCAATACATAATTTACATAAAGGTAAATATATTTGGGGACGGTGTTACAAGTTCACCCCCCCCTTATTTGGGATTTCGTCCCCGAAATCAACGTGTCTAATCGAAAAGAAACGGGTATTGCTCCCTCATTGAGACCTCGGTCTCACAAGTTTCTTCTTCGACTCGATCACTCCTTGATATTCAAGTAATTTCCGGTTGTATGTTTGTATTTTAACTAGTTTTTATTAGTTCTAGTTGTGGAAATTACACATTTTTGGTGTAATATTTTATTTTCATTTTTATTTGTAATTTGTTTAGATTAGGATTATTCTGAGCTAAAAAGGTCAAAGATCATCCAAGGGATCAAGATTGGACCTTAAAAGATCAAGGAAAGTGCAAGGAGACAAGAAAGATTTCGATTTGGAAAAAATACTCATGTACCCCGGTCGGGTATTGCCTATACCCGATCGGGTATTCGCTTGATTCGATTGTCCAAATCAAATCCGGGAACAAATGATCGTGGGAGCAAATTTTCGTGAAGATTTGTCACATACCCGATCGGGTATGCCGACATACCCGATCGGGTATCCTATATACCCGATCGGGTATCAGACCCTGCAGCTCCCAAAAGCCTATAAATACACTCATTTCCTTCCCAATAAAAACACCAATTCACATATACTTCTAAGCTCAATTTAGACAAGTTATTTCTTTATATTTTCTTCATGTTTAGTCTCCAAATGAGGAGCTAAACTCTTCCATCTTGGTTTTGCTACTTTGAAGCTTAATGAATTTGTAAGTTGTGAGTTATTCTCTTTAATCTTCTTCCTTGAATATTAATTCTTTCTTTAAATACTATTTCTATATCAATGTTGGGGAGTGTTACTAAGATGACAATTAGTTGACATCTTGACATTAGTTATAGTAATAGTTATTTCTTCCTCTATATTAATATTGGGGAGTGTTACTAAGATGACAATTAGTTAACATCTTGATATTAACTATAGTAGGATTCATCTTCTTTAATATTCTTCCTTGAGTATTAATTAATTCCTATTCATATTTCATATTAATATTTTGAACATTACTTAAAGGATCAACTAGTTTTGTTTCATATATTAATTATTACTAGAATCGATCGATGAATACGCTTGTTAATCGTTCGATCGTTTCACGGTAGTAAACTTGGGTTATTAATGCATGTGTTTCATGATTAATAAACCAAGGGGAATTAATTATGTTGATTAAACCAATAAACCGCTTGTGTTGAGGTTATCAATCTCAATCGTTTTCATCTTGATTTTATTGCTACTATCGGATTAATCTATGGCGCGTGTTCTATATTAACTCGGTAGTAAGTTTTATTAATGAACGCGTCTCGTTATTAATAACTACTCTCGATGAACTGGATATACTCCTCGATTGAGTATTCGAGAGGAAGATAGTTAAAGATATAACCGGGATCGACGAACATTTCATTAAGTGGATAAAAGCAAAACCAAGTCCCCATCTCTATTAATTAAACTCATTTAAGTCATTCATCTTAGTGTTAATTAAATTAAATTAAATCAAATCTAAAAAAACCCCTTGTTACTAGTTATATAAAAAGAGAAGTATTCCTTTCCCTGTGGATACGAACCTTACTTCGCTATACTACGTATCAGTGTTGTATTGTATTATTACTTTGAGTACACACCACGACAAAGTGCACGTCACTCCTCCAAAGTACCTTCACCATAGGAATCTCCTTGTTCCTAAGCTTCTTTACCTGTTGGCCCACTATCTTCACCGGTTCTACTGCATATTGCAAGTCCTTTCGGATCTCCACCGGTGGTTTCTCAAGAATATGTGATGGGTCCCGTACATACCTCTTGAGCATCGATGCATGAAATACATCATGAATCTTCTCAAGTTCAGGTGTCAGCTTGAGGCGATAAGCTACGGCCCCAATCCTCTCCAGGATTTCAAATGGACCAATGTATCGGGGGTTAAGCTTACCCCTTGATACGAATCGGATGATACCTTTCCAAGGAGAAATCCTTAGAAAAACTTCATCCCCGACCTCAAACTCCAACGGCCTCCGCCGTTTGTCTGCATAGCTCTTCTGCCGATCTTGGGCAACCTTAAGTCTGTCACGAATGATTTTCACCTTAGCCTTGGTGATCTCAACAAGTTCTATTCCCTCGAGCTTGGCCTCACCAACCTGATAACTGTTGTTATAGGCAAACTCCACCAAAGCCGGGTGTTTTTCCCAACTCCTTTGGAACTCCAAGGCACATGCCCTAAGCATGTCTTCCAAAATCTGTATCACCCGCTCAGATTGTCCATCTGTCTGTGGGTGAAAGGTTGTGTTAAACTTCAGTTTAGTACCCAATGATGCTTGAAACTTTGGCCAAAACCTGGATGTGAATCGTGGATCCCTATCCGAGACAATGGATATCGGGACTCCATGCAATCTCACGACCTCCTCCACATATAACTTGGCAAACCTTTCAAGAGGATAAGTAATGTTGATAGGTAAGAAGTGTGCGCTCTTGGTGAGCCTATCAACCACTACCCAAACTGCGTCATAGTTGTTCACCGTCCGTGGTAGCCCTACGACGAAGTCCATGGTCACATGTTCCCACTTCTATTCTGGAATGGTAAGTGGTTGCAAAAGCCCCGCGGGGTGCTGATGCTCCGCCTTAACTTGTTGGCAAGTAAGGCATCGACTCACGTATTCTGTGATGTCCCTCTTCATACCCGACCACCAATAACTTTCTTTCAAGTCCCGGTACATCTTAGTACCCCCTGGATGCATGGCATAGGCCGAAGAATGAGCTTCCTCTAGTATGGACTTTTGGAGCTCCTCATTCTTGGGTATGCATACACGATCTTTAAACAGTAGAAGGCCATCGTCACATACCCGAAAATTCTCAATGGGCCCCTCGAGGGTCTGTTCGTGGATCTTCTGACATTCCTCATCAGTGCCCTGACACCTATTGATCTCATCAAGCAAGGTAGGTTTAACCTCGAATCTGGCTATGAGGGCCCCGCTTGTGGACACCTCCACACGCGCCCTCAATGCCTGTAGACATGTGAGTAACGTCCCTGACGTACTCTTCCTGCTTAGTGCATCGGCGACCACATTGGCCTTTCCGGGATGATAGTCAATGATCAGGTCATAGTCCTTGATCAACTCCATCCATCTCCTTTGTCTCATATTCAACTCTTTCTGAGTGAATACATACTTCAAGCTCTTATGGTCGGTGAAAATGTGACATGTCTCCCCGTAGAGATAATTCCTCCAAATCTTCAGTGCCAATACTACCGCCCCCAATTCTAGATCGTGGGTAGGGTAGTTCACCTCATGTTTCATTAATTGCCTAGAAGCATAGGCAATCACCTTACCGTTTTGCATCAACACACACCCAAGCCCTTGGATGCTAGCATCGTTGTAAATGTCATACCCTATCCCCTGCTTGGGTAAGGCAAGAACTGGTGCCTCGGTAAGCCGTTTCTTCAGCTCAAGAAACCCTTTCTCACATTTGTCATCCCACACGAACTTAGCCCCTTTCTTTGTGAGTTTCGTCAATGGAGATGCTAGCACGGAGAATTTCTCGACGAACTTACGATAGTACCCTGCTAAGCCCAGGAAACTACGTATCTCCTTCACATTTTTGGGTCTCTCCCAATCGATGATAGCTTTTATCTTGGCGTTGTCCACAGCAACGCCCGAACCGGATATGACATGCCCGAGAAAGCCAATCTCTTTAAGCCAAAATTCACATTTGGAGAACTTGGCAAATAGTTGTTTTTCTCTAAGTCGTTCAAGTACAAGCCTCAAGTGATGTTCATGCTCCTCCCCGTTCTTGGAGTAAATCAAGATGTCATCAATGAACACTATCACAAATTGATCTAAGTATTCACTAAACATTCGGTTCATCAAGTCCATGAATGCTGTCGGTGCATTGGTTAACCCAAA